TTCATTTCTGGAGCTTGTAACAGCAGCTTCTAGTTACTAACTGGACATCTTGTCCTCCAAAATAAATTAAACTGTGTTTGATTATCAATCATTGCAAAGTACAAAAACATCCAGCACTAAACTATAAGCCCTAAACTGCTGAATAAAAACAAGCAGATCGATTTTTAAGCTCCGATACGCCATCATAAGCAGCCCTGCAGATAGTTTACACACCTCCAGAAAATATCTTCATCCACTGGTTTTATTTTCTTAACACTGTGACAACACTTGCTTATGTGTTGCCACAAGGTTTTTTTTTTTTTGTCTTTTCAACAAGAAATTGCTGTGACCACCATGATATCAGCAAAGGACATCACAGAGTGGCAATTACCAGGGAAAATGAGAGTCCACAAAAGCACGGCATCAGGATTATGACAATCTTATCTCCATATCATGCCAGGAGTGAATTATTGATTTTCTGCCAGAGAGCATCACGGTCAAGAGGCCGGTGCCATGCCTGTGACAGAGCAACGAACACCCAGGGGCATGATGGGGGAGCGCAGAGGAGGCGAGAAGGCAATAACGGGGGTCCAAGGTAAAGCAACGCAGGCAGAGGAGAAAGCTGAAAAGGTATTGGAAACAGGGCAGAAAAGCACATTCAATTCCAAGTTTCACCTTTTATTTTATATTTCTGGTGCCTGATTTGGTACTTTTTGCATATTCCATGTTATAACCTCCTTTTTTAGATGGTTGAAAGTAACAACCATTTGTTTTAAAAACCTGCGCCTCCATTTGAGGTTTGACTGCAAGTATTTTAATGATGTGATCCCACCATGTCCCTTACTCCCCCTGAGGTTTAACAGGAAGTCAGCTCGTGTCACCCGCTATTTGCCTTCGGGCGAGGCCTGTCACACTTTAACAGGAACCTTTTTACAAGGCAGCCAAATAAAACTAATAAGAAGAAAAAAATTACCATTTGTACAGCATTTTTCTTTGATGATTTAAGGGCCTCGACTAGTTAATTGCCCGATATAAGGCCAAAACTGATGTTTTTAATGAGGAAAAGGCAATTACATTTTTAGCTGCAATAATAAGAATGGAAATGAATCATCAGCCAAGGTGAAAATGGTTTCTGTTCGTCTTTCAGTGAGGCGGACAAGGAAAAAAAAAAGAAAGTCAACTTGGGAGAATTTAAAACATTGAAGAACATATTGAAAGAAAATTTTAGGCTGTGTGTGTCTTAGAAAGTCAAAGACAATTTTAAAAAAAAGGGAAAAGATTCAGATCGCTGTTCCTGGTGTGGTTTAAATTTATTATTCTCAAAACATTAAAATAATAATAAAAAATTTAGAAAAATAAACTGCCTTTAAAATAAATAAATAAATAAATCAGTATGGTCCATTATAACCTAAGCAAAACTCCCCAAAATCTAAAGTCTAGGTGTGATAAATCTCTTAGGACCAGGATTTCCAATGAATTTTTGAAGAGGGTTTCATTAGTAAAATATGTCACTCCAACAATATTGCTGAAAATTGTGATGAAAATCTTAAGATTGAAAGTTAGGAGATGTAGAGCCACAGAAATATGATTTAGTTGTCGGCATTAAGGAAGGAAACTAACATATTGTTAGCAAGCAGGGTATATATAGCATGGCAGCGGAAACACACAAAACCAATCAATTACATATCCAAGCCGCTATACTGAAAAAATGGAAACAACGGTGACAATTGCAGTTCAATATATTGTGCAGCTCCATTTCTGAATGTGCTGTAAGCATTGTTTGACTTGGCAACCTCATGCTATAACACAGCCTGCGTGCTGGCAGCCCCTCCACTCAGTCATTTTCAGTGACTAGATTGCTGTGCTTCCGAGTCTCATAACCATCAGCATGACAGATGCTGTTCTGTCAGTGTAATTCACAGGCATCATCTTGGCTTAATTAGGGCCCCTGTTAATGATTGTGTTGTGATACGTTTTCAGAAAACCCATCTCCTCCCAAAACAGAAAAACTCATTTTCAAACTGATGATCAAAACTCTTAGAAAAAGAAAGGAACAGCAAGATTTTGCTATTAAGGAGCTGAAGCATCTGTGGCTTTTGTTTTACTCGTCTTTCCCAAGCTTTGTGGGAAGCAGTGGAAAACAGACCACATTAAAGTAATGTGTAATTGGACAAACAATGCACGGTGTTCAAAGTCAGGCAAAAATATGTGTAGGAGTCTGAAGCAGGGTTAGGAAATAAAATAAGACTGTAAGCTTTAAACATTTTCACATGTTCAATCCATCTGAAAAATAATGAATCAACGAGGCACCAAAGAGGATAAATTTAACTTTTGAGGAGCTGCAGAGGTTTACAGCTCAGGTTGAAAGAATTTGTTGACCAATTGTAATGCACTCTACAAATGTGTCCTTTTTGGAAATACACAGGAAGAACGTCATGTACTGCACAGTATGACTCTGGAAGAAAACCTGCTAAAAGCCACAAAAGACGTCTGACTGGGGCAACAGAGCAGCTACTCTAAAAACACAGCCAGAGCTGCAATGGAAACTAGAATTTCTTACAACTCAAATTTGTATTAGCAAGGAAAAACCGAGTCGTTTAGGAGGTGAGCTATTTGAGAGGTTCTCACAGTTTGTGCTCCATTATGTTTACAACAAAAGAAAAAAAAAACAACTAAAACCTTATGTGTTTGCTTACATTTTAAATAGAGGTGCAATACAAAATGGTAGTGGTGTGCCGTTTCACCTCTGTAAAATGGAATATAAGCTTATGAGGAACAATCTGAGGTGTGAGTGTACATGGGTAAAATATGCGCGACTACGTCACCCAAAATGCACATCAATACTAAGTGTCAACAAAGTCTGTATAGACCCAAATAAGCTCTAAAGTGCAGTCCTGCTACAGAATCAAACAGAGAATGAACCTTCCTACATTTAGTTGTTTCCATTTTTACAGCTTTTACTTAATTACCAACATTAAAATGACTTACAACAAATGCAACAACCAACCACTGCCGACTGATTCATGCATGGAAAAACAACAACAAAAACAATACACTTTTCAATCACGTCTCAGCCTCGCCTTGGCAAGAGAAGGCAGAATGCATTTGGCCACAGGCTCTCATATCTCTCCCGCTGAGCTGTCCTTATCTGGTGAGCAGCAACCTTCCTGTGGTGGTTGTCAGATTAATCATCATCTAAGAGGATCAGTCAAGAAACACAATAAAACAAATCTCACAATTCTGGCAAAGTCAATGATGTTAAGGATTCTCTCAGGTTGTCGAGCTGTAAGACCCAAATTAAATCAATGCATGAGCTGCAGGACAATTACGTTACAGGGAATGATGTGATCACTCACACAGCAGGGCCAAAATAACCAAGGGGGCTTTATACTGTGCCTGGTACAAGAAAGGGAGCTCAACTACCTGAGGATTAAGGGAAAAAGCACCAGCGCCCCCATGTGTGCAGAAATATGTTACACATACTGAACCTAACTTTTTTAATACTGATAAACCTGATCAAAGTGACCTATACATATATGAGTGTTTTGTTTGTGCAAACATCCAAATATAAAGATTTTTTTTATGAATTCTGTAAATAAATATTTTCCTCTCAGTTCAGGTTGCAGTGGCTTTTCTCATGCTTACATGCAGAGGGTCTCGGTGTCATACCCACAGTTCTTCTAAAAGCCGCCTCAAACATACGTGTGGACACACAGACATGAGCTTCACATGCTTTATTAAATTAACCTTTTCTCAAAGTGATATAGAGCACACACACAGGAATGACTCTCAGCCTAACGTCATTAGGCTGGCCTCTGAATTTGATTGTATCTCACTGCTCAGACAATAAGATCACGACAGCACACTGTGCGCCGCTGTGGGACGACAAAGCAGAGCATGAACACAGTGATTTTTGTCCTGTGGTTAAAGGAGGGTTGAAGCAACATGTCTGAAGGAGTTCTTCAGTATTTTCTTTTAGACATGCCTTGATAGAGAACGCTGCTGCTCACGTTCTCACCAAAAACAGGAAGATGAAGCACGTCACCCCAGTTTTAAAGTCCTTAAACTGGCTCCCTGTAGCTCAGAAAATACAGTTTAAAATATTTAGCACTGAACGGTTTGGCACCAAAATACATTAAAAACTTGCTTTAGTTGTATCGACCTTCCAAACCTCTCTGGTCTGCTGGTTCTGGTCTACCTTCAATCCCCAGAACCAAACATGGAGGAACAGCATTCAGTTTTTATGTCGCACTTCTGAGAAGTTTCTTTACATCAAGGCTAAAAATCCATCTGCTGCTTGAAATATAAACCAATTCTAGCCTCGATTACAACTTTTCATTACTTCTGTCTTTATTCCACTACTATAATGCATATAATGTTTTTGTTGTTCACTACATTTTGTTTTTTTCTCATGTGAAGCACTCTGAACTGCTTTGCTGCTGAAATGTGCTAAGCAAATAAACTTGAATTCACATTTTGAACCAGTGCAGTCAATGAGAAAGCCATGAACTAAACATAGCATTTCCGGCCATTACGCCACAGGTTAGGAGCAATAAATAAAACTAAAAATAAAATTGGGATCACAGAGGCTGTTCTCGCTATACTGGACTTAAAGCACAGACCATAAAAACTGTACTTGATACCATGTACAACGAGCCTGGCTTCAAATCGCAACACTTAATTAAATGTTGGATATAATTTTCTTATTTTTATTGAGTAAAATCGCTCTATTAAGAACTTTTCTCAAATAAATAGTGAAATATCCCATAAGTAGACTGTATAAATGCATTCTGGGTACATATTATACATTTGAACCAAGGACTTAAAACAGAAACGACTGCATGCGTTTTATAATTACTAGCAATTTATGTAGAAGCTTTGGTGAAATATAGATTTTGATAATCGTTCCATATAAACAATTGCTGGTTTGTGAGATCACAATCTGCTCAAATAAAGCAGAGTTTGGTTTGAACGAAACATTAAGGCCAGCAGGATATTAAGCAGAAATAGCGATCACTCACAGCGCTGGAGGTGAGGGACGGGTCCGACTTTCCAAGGTTCAGGGATCGCATGCGGACCAGATTAGAGGTCTCGGATGACGACTGCAGCATCGTCTGTGTCTGGTGAAGGCTGGGGGGCAGCAACAGGTACTTTCCTGCAAAAACATTTTTAAAAAAAAGGCAGCTAAATCATCTGAAAGGCTGCTTTAATGCATTAGATTTTCTTTGAACAGTTCTTTGAGAACTTAAATATGACACGGAGTAATTTTTTGTCAATTGCAAAACTGTGTAGAGGTCCTGATATGATTTTTTTTTCTTATCTTCTGTGTCATGGAAGACACCTGATGGTTCTCAGAGAAGTACTGTCCCCCCAGTTTAGAAACCACCAGATGAAACGCACAAAAAAAAAAAAAAAAAACTCCACAAAGAACAACCAATTCACCAGGGTTAACATTTTAGTTCTGTACCGGTTTACTCGTACCACACAAGTCTTAAATTACAGTGAGAGTTTAAACCCTGAATACACCTTTTGTAGCAGTTTGAACTTCACTCGTGTTTTCAAATGCCACCTGCAGCAAAAGAGACAGAAATCCTTCAACAGTTTTGCATTTCGTAATAACCTTTATCAAGTGCAGGTCAAAGGATGTCCTACGACATGAGAGAATCCCTGCTGTCAGCTCCTGTTAGGCACGTTAAGATAAACCCTATTACTTTGTGCAAACAGGAAGTAAAATGGTTAAATTAGGCCAGGGGAGAGTAAGCTTATTAAGAGCTCACAACCTAAACTACATAATCCCACAATAGAGATATCCTAGTCCAAGAAGGAAAATGGGCCTAAAAAAATAAAAACATTAGTTCACTCAATGTTACTTTTTGAAAAGCAGCATTTTATCAATTTCTTTGTCTTGCAGCTAGATGGCAGTAGAAGCTGTTTAGTCTACTCCATCCATTATCAGCGCCTCCTCTTATCACTGAGCTTCAGTACATCAAGATAAAGGATGGCAAACTGAAAATGACCTCTGCAAACAAATCACATCATAATTCAATGAATCACTGAGTCGCCATAAATACTTTTTATCATTCTGAACATTTTAGATTTATTCTACTATCAGAAAAAAAACAACAAGCTGCTGCTGGGTTTTTTTTTCCTCCAATAAAAAAAAAACTAACAAAACAAAGGAAGGGAGTCTGAGCTCTAAACTGCAAGAGGATATCTCCAGTTCATTCAGCCTGAGGCAAGTATCTATTTTTATCAGGTGATATGATGAGCTGCAGAAGGTATGTTTGAAGTTCACTGTCCTGCTGACAAGATTTATTAAATCACTGAATGCAGGGCTTGATTTACAGGTGGACTTTTAATCCACAGCTTTCTCAGAAACGCTCAGGAAATATTTTCAAATGTCTGCAGATCAAATATTGACTTGGAAAAAGAAGTCCCACGCATTTGAAATTTGAAGCATATTTTAATGCTTCCTTAAGGCCAAAAGGTTGTTGGTTTGGGGTAATAAATCAACTTAAACTTCATCTGCAGCACTCAGACATAATCAGCATCAATGGTAACAATGAAACAAACCTTAAAGTAAATTCAGAAGCAAAGTCTCGCAGGATTTTGTTTGTCTTTAACGGTGATCTTCAAAAGCTTAACCCTTTTGAGATTTTGCTGTATTTTTCCTTGCTGAATGTTTTGGGACACTGTTTGAGCTCCATACAAATTTTGAAGTAGGATGTAGATACCAGAAAAAGTTGTGTTTTCGAAGAGAGAGAGAAAAAAATTTTCAAATTAAAATAAAATAGAATAAATCATCAGCTGGGAACTGCAAGCAATTAACAGGCAGAATAAAGGTAACAAATATGAAGGTTCATGTATTTTGCGGTTTTCATTGGATAAAATATTCTTTTAGCCCAGGATAAAGTGTGACAGATTGAAAATCATATCTTGAAGCTTTAACGCCATGTCAATAATGGCAAATATAAACAAAAATATATATTTTTTGCGTTGAAAAAAATCAAGTTGCCAAGCATAAAACACCAAAATATTAACTAAAACATAACTCTGAAACCATTGTCTGTTCTCTCTCATCTTCCTCAGTCTCTCTATGATCAATGATTTAAACCCAGAAAAATTAAAGTGTGAACAGACAGGATGAGAAGGGAAAAGTGAGGCCTTTCCTTCCTTACTGGCAAATGTTTTCCCTCATGACGGCCCTTCACATTCCGGCATAACGGAAACGGTCACAAATAACTCAACACTTCGAAAGGTGTGTATCAGCACTTACGGGTAAATGGGTCAGGCTGGATTTCAAAATAGACATTTATGAGAATGTCAGATCCCAAGTCAACTGCGTTTAGACTTCATCTTGCAAAAAATCTATCTAAAATGTGTCTCCAATCGCAACAAGTCAATTAAGGGTGGTTCCCATTTCACTGAAATTGACTTAATTTCCCTTCAACCTTTAGGGAAATTAAGTCACAAAGCTCACAGTTTAGGTTTTTGTAAAAAAAAAATACACATTAACAGTTGTTTTCCTCCTTTGACACCACACAGTCAGAAGAACATTACTTAATGTTTGCTGACCTTTCTGGTGAATAAGTGAATAATCCAGCTCTTTAATTTACACTTAGCCTTCAGTGTTGTGTCTGCTGGATGTGAAAATTAGCTGCAGAAGTCAAAAACAGAAAAAATCCAATCTATGATCAGAAGGAAAGACATTCATCATGCTTTAACTGCACAACTAAAACTGACTAACTGGCTCCAGGTTTGTTTATATATCCTGTTTTTTCTAGACCAGCTACTAAAGGTTAATGCATTTATTCAAAGCTGCACAGGTTTTATTAACTGAAAGGTTAACATTTTCATCAGCAAGGTGAAGCTTTCTCTAAATAGCTCAGAAATCAGGCTTTTAAAGCCACATTTTACACAGCCTGAGTTGCTCTAATTTACTGCAATACGCAAACAAAACAGGCAGACTGAACAAAGGAGACATTTACTGGTTTGCGTTTTAAAGGAGGATTTATTTTTAAGACCAAAACCTGGGTTTGTGAAGAAAAATGTAACTTGTGATCAGTTGTTTTTAATCCGACTGTCTACGTTGATTTTAAAGAAAATGCTGAATATGTTTGTGCATTCTGGTTGTTCTAAGTGCATCAAGACCAAAAGTAGATTTTTTTATCTTGTCATTTTCCTGATTAAATACAGACTGAATAAGTAGATTTTTTTTTAAATCTGTTTTTAAAGTTTATTGGACATCAAATAGTATTTGGATTTTTTCAGGATTATTGTCTAGTCTTTGTTTTTTTACCAGCTTTTCTTAAACTCGTTGCTAAACTTCTGCTTGCTTTGGAGAAATTAAAGATGCAAGAACAAAAGCCCAGCCAGTCGATTTTGTATTTTCTTTCTGTCCACACAGTCAGTGCCGGCTCCCTTCTTGCACACTAATCCACCATGATGAACAGCCTGTTAGTGGTGCAGCCGCCCTCACCGACTGACCGAGGAGTCATTCAGCTCATTCACTGAGTTTGACATCACAAACTGAGCATGAAAGCCACACACCAGAACCAAACACACCAGAAAGCCACTCAGCAGCAAGAGGCCAGATAGAAACATTGGATAATATTAATACGAGAAGTACAAATCCGGGTCAGTTTTATACTTTTCAAATCTATGACCAAGTCACTTACTAGTCTAAGGTTTTGCTTTTTTCCTCTAGTAACTTTCCAGTTTTCTAAAACATAAAAATTTGTCTGTACAAAAACTGCAGATGTGCAAACAAAAATTCTCATTTTACAGAATTTTTATTTTTTTAAGGTGCATAGTGCATTTATTTCCCCCAACAATGAGAATCAATAAGTGATATTGATGATGGAATCTGTATTGCTAAATACTCATCAAGTCCCATTCCTAGTTGATAGGGTTGATTAATAAAGATTCCTCATCGATCTGGACGACAACACTAGCAGAAGAGTTTAGTTAGTCACCGTTTAAATATTTGCATGGCAGGATTTTGGTTGCCTGATAGAAAAGTATACAAAATAAAAATCAGCAAAATTTTACTGATTTAGTGATTTAGTTCTTTACTAAGTGATTTAGTTCTTTAGTGATTTAGTTCACTCTTTGTTTTCCCCATAATACTGCTGAAAATCTTGTCCCAGCTCGTTTTTATGAACCCGGTGTCGTGCATCGTTTCGCCCTGTGAGCTGCTGGTTTTGACTGGCTCTGAATTACGTGTTGCAGCCGTTTTCCTGTCATCTTTCACACCCTTAAAAAACAAACAAAAAAAAGATTAACCAAAAAAGACTACGCAGGCAGCTGAAATGAATAATAGCTACAGCTGGTTAAAAGGTAAAATCTTAAATAATGCTTGTTTTACAATAAGCCTATTTAATTAGCAGCCCACAGACTGAATCCACCCTGTTCACGACTTGAATGTGGCCCTTTGAATATGTATAAAATAGAGGGAGACGATCTATTCATACTGAAACGTCACTTTGCGTAAGAACTAAATCAAACAGGGTGCTGTACCAAAGATTTAATTCACACATTAAGCTCAATAAACAGGATGTTAACCAATAAACCTCTACTTCAGTTTAATAGGGTTTGATCTGGTAAAAGTCTTTTAGTTTTCCATAACTTCCCTCTGAGGCAACTTTCATATTCGCGTAAATGGAAAAACACTCAGCGACTTGTCGGAAAGCCTGCGATTATTTTGTCTGAAGCGGCTCACTAGACTTGCCCGGCAAGTTTGGAAGCTCCCTCCTGCCCTCACCTGAGAAGGCCCCGGGGCCGTGAGCCTGCGCATATGAACAGATTTCCTTCAAGTCATTCTGAGCAAAACGGTAGATTAAGAGAAAACCGTTCACAGGAGGATCAGTCAATCCTCTTTTTGAAAACGCGTTCAATCTTGTTAATCCACTGAACTTGTCAAATTTAAACGTCAACTGATAAATTACACTAAAAGTCATTTAAATCTCGCTCCTTCCTACTCAAACATATTTAAAGTCAAACATGTTTTGACTGGTTTTGAAATTCGTTAGCAATTTATTTCCATTAGCCAACAACCATGTCGGTCTGTAGGCAGATATGTGGTTACCATTAGTGTAAAATCTTTCTCTGTGTGTGATATTAACCATGACAAATCATTCTTTAGCTGCAGGAGGAATGATTAGTGAAGCCGGGTTATCGTCTGGAGGCAGCAGAAAAAATATCCAGAGGAGCCGACTTATTGTCTTAGAAGGATTAGTTACTGTAAACATGGGCTGTGCAGGAATCCACAAACAGTCCCTCCATGTGCTTTGTGCTTTTCAAAACAAAATATGTCATGCATTTCTCATTTGTATGCCAAAACGATGAGTCATAACAGTGTTGTAAAATAAAAACACGAGGGCAAATCAGAAAGAGGGAACTACATACAGCATGTGTTAGATTATTTTAAAATCAAATCTGGTGGTAAATGTAAAGAACAAACACAGATGAAGAAATTACCCGTCAAGCCACCGCCGAGACTTCTTCTACGAAGCTGTCTTCCATCCTCGCTGAGATGCCTCTTGAATTTGAGAGCAGGACTTAATCCGTGGGTTAGCTCAGGAATACTGGACTTTCTCAAGAGGTTTGGAGGTGGGTAGAGAATGTTGTTCAACTGCAGGAAAAGCAAGAAGAACAGGATAAGACTGGAAGGAATACACAACACAGCTGGGCCCAAGACGCCTTCATAGAAGACCTTCAAACGGTAATATCAGACTTTGTGTCTGCAAGGATGCAAAAATTAAAACAAACACAAAGGAACAACTACGGAAAATTCAGAAGGAATTGGATAATTTCAGCTTGAAGGTTAGACAGATGAGAATACTCTTCAGTTTGGAGACTGAGAAGACCTCAGTTATAAACACGAAGAAAAGATTTTTATAACATGACGACAAAGGTATGCAGTGCATTCAGGCTGCTAAGTAGTGAGAGAGAGCAAGACATTGGGAAAGCCAAGTTTTATGATTGAGCTGCTGACCTTTGTCATGAAAGATGCCGGGTTTGGACATATCGGTAATGCTGGGAAGCCTCAGAGTTAAGATAGTAACCAGGCTGTCATTAAAACAGGGTCAATCATTTTCATTTGCAAGATTTATAGATTTATCAATTGGTGCTTTGGTCTCAATAACTTTTTTATTTATTTTTTGGAATACAGTTTTGCTTACAGAGATTATATAATTAATTGTATTTGTTGTTTTGATTATTTAGTTTATTTTGGATATTTTAAACATCTTCCAGTTCCAGTGTTAAGTTTGTTAGAATTTGAAGTTTATTGATCTTTGAGAATACGTTCTTGGATTATTATACCATTATCATAAAAATGATATCAAATCAAAAATTGTATTGTTTATCACAATAACTTTTGGGACAATTTATCATCCAGTAAAATCTGTTTTGAGAGGCACCATCCACTTGGCAATACACTGGGAAATGTCTTTTTAATTATTCTAATATGGCTAATCACTAAAACAAGTGATTGCTAAATAATACACGAGATGTGACATTGCCTCTTCTGCAGCAAAATATACAAACCAGAGGCAATTTTCTTGCATAACAAAAATGGAAAACCAGCTACGTCAAAATCCAATTTTAAAACAGAAAACTTCATTGTCGGAGGCATCTAGCAAACAACATCTACAGGAATAAACTGATTACATATTCCATTCTTCAGCGTTGTCTATTGCAGCCCTGTTGTGCTCCCTGAAGAGGACACTGTGAAGTTCAGACAACATAACAAAGCGCTTTGGGGAGGAAGAGACCCTCCCTGAGAATACAAAGATACACAGAGGTGAGAGCAGTGTGTGGAAGGAAATGCCCTCTGCTTCCCCCAAGGGATGATTCATGATCCAAGCTCTTCTAGGACAAATACAAGCAAACCTTTGTAGCAACAACAAAAGACGCTCAGAATGTGTCCTTTCTTGTTGGTTGTTATGAAATAAATATACTTTCACCAACATTTACAATTTAAGATGTTAAGAAGTGTATATCAGCTCTGAGCAATGTTTTAAAATATGCATATGTTCAGCAAGTACTGAAATATTTTGTTCTTGGTTATGTATGCACATGTTTTCTCTGTCCTACTGATTGTTTTTTTTTTTCTTTTGTTCTTAAAAATATATGAAAATAATAAAAAAAACAAATCAAAACTAAGTAAAAATATTAAATTCATAACAATTTATTCATACAGCGCCAATTCACAACAAATGTAATACAATGCAAAAAGTCATTTCAGTCCAATCATACATACATTCCAAATGATTCAAGTAATCAAATATTTCAGTAAAAAAAACCTTTTCAGCGTAAGAAAATTCAGCAGACTGCATCTTGTCAATGATTATTTAGTACGTTTTATGTTAAAGTAAAAAGTTAATAGCAGAAGAAGGAGGATGTTTAGTTGTTGGCAGCATTATGTCAGTCAATGCACAAAGTACAACCATCCCTCATTCCTATTGGCAAACATTTCAACTTGCCAGTGGAGATGAGTAATATTGTTTTGTTAATGCCAGTTAGAGGAAAAAGAGTTGGCATGATAATTAGCCATCCCATAATATAAAGGTTCACAAACCTCAATGATTGACATCATTGAAATTATTATTTCTGCTATTCATGAGGTGATAAACAGTGTGCCTGTGTTTCAAAATATGACTGACTGGAATCATTGTATAACATTTAGCAACACAGTTGCACTTTTTAGTAGCTTAGTAGAAACATTTTAGTTGGTGAGAGATTAGACCACAGGAACCATTCTTGTTTTTTTAACAAAAACAAAAATGCTACATGAAACAAATTTTCTTTTTTTTTTTTTTTTTAAAGAAATCTGCTACAAGAGAATTTTAAAGAAAGAAAAATAATTTTATTTTTGTTGTTCAGTCTTAAAAATCAAGAAAATAATGAAACTTTTAAGCAAAGGGAATGAAATTTTGCACATCAGAATGTGCAATGAGGGTCACTGATACACTAGTCAACATAGAAATAAGACTTTGATTATTTAATATATACCTCTATGACATTAAAAAGGTTGATATTCCTTAATTATTTTCAAAGTATAGCATTGATTAGCTCCAAGATTTTACAGTGTTCAAATGAAAGAAGAGCTGACCTATAAAGTTCACATGTGTAGATTCCTTAAAGACAAATACCTGATGTAATTTAATGCATGTCAACAATTGCAACTACCAAAACTACTGTATTAAGGTGATGCACCCTGACTTAGATGCTGCACTGCAGCAAGTGCAGCCAAATGGAAACAAACAGCACTGCACACCCACCAGCTTAATACTTAGGAGATAACCAGCGCTGGGGCAGAGATGAACAGCTCAGATAACATCCTCTAGCATCTACAAGAAGCATTCTTAGTACATTTAAATCACATTCACACATATTCAGCATATCACACATACATGAAACATGTTATCCACAGGTTTCACCAAATAACAGTGAACTACAAAGACATGTTTATTAGTCTACAGGAAGATCTTCCGAAGAGCAAGAAAATAAACTTTGGGTTTTATTTCAAGATTGGGCTGCAGCTTCAAATTTTGATTGGGTTGCCAAAACAATCAAGGTGTTTTTTAAAAATTATGGTTGCTAATGGTTTGAGTGACTCACTCAATCAGCCCTGGATCTCCAAGCTAAAAATAAATCTCTTGCTTGTCTAAAGTCTACATCGGTTGCTACAGGAAGCTATTGGCTTTTCAATGAGTGAGACATTTAGGTCAAGACAACCAAAAGATCTACGTTATTATGAAATAAGCAGAAAATCCTAGATCTCAGAGTGAAAATGTTCTGTACAAATTTGCTCCTTAGTAAATTCTCTAAAAAAAAAGAAAAACGGACACAAACAAACCCAGACGACAGTTGAAGTTAATTTAAATGTTTCCCCCTCCCTGTCTAGAAAAGCAAACCCAAAGTTGGAGGAATGGGGCCGAGATTTATCCTGCTAGCAGGTGGTGCAACAGTGTCCAGGTGTTCAAAGACGAACATAATCAGATTATAAAAAAAAAAAAAACTGAGCCCAGGAACCGACAGACTTATGTAACATTATAGCAAACACACAACAACCAAACTCTGTAAGCAGCTTTCAGGTATGCGGCGAGACAAACACGGGCATAAGCCATATTGGTCTGATCTAAGAAATTCAAGAAGGGTTACTCTGAAATGCACTCGTACAAATCTGACTATGACGTAAGTCGACCTATGACCTCAAGGACGACGCGGTGATGGGGTTCTCAATCAGATGTCCTGTATGTCTCAGCTTCCTCTGCTGCTTTCAAATTTTATTTTGCCTGTCTACCCTACGGCTTAAAAAAGAAAAACCAGGACTTTTTTCTTATCTCAAAGGTGGTCGAGGCACATATCTGAGGCCTGTTCAGTACTATGCAAAAATGTTTGCATCCCTGGAACTTTGCCACATCTTTTTGTGTTCCAGTCACAAACTTAAATGTATTTTTATTAAATGTTTTGGAGAGATGCTTTCCCATCCAACCAGCTTGAGGTATTTTCAAGTATCGAGAGCGTTTTACTTTACAGTGAAGAAAATTCAAATGAAATACACCAGAGTCTTTGGCTGTAACATGACAAAATGTAATAAAGTTGGGGGCGTTTGAATAAATTTGCCATGCACTGTAAAACACCTACTTATAGAGAAGACGATAACAGGAGTAATTTTTTCCTTCACTGGAGAATACAACCAGACATTGTTACAAAAGTACTATACATAGGTAGTAAAAAAAAGAAGCATACAGCACAATCATCATAAAACTGTGTATAATTTGTGATCTTTGCTTTTATTTTTCATAATAACCATGATAAAAGTGCGAGCCCAGTAGATCTGCGGAGGCTGCCAAAGCTGCATGGGTCCAAGTGATTTCTGCATTAGCTCAACTGTAATTACAGGCCACTTATGCCAGCCATGAATCACCGGGATAATCAGTAAACCCATGCTTCCCACTCTATACATATCAGCATTTAAGAGGCTAACACAGCCACACAGCAGACTCTCTTATTAAATATTATCCTTATTAAAGGATAATAGTGCAATATTGTTCCATTCAAAACATCTGCATTGATTTAAGAGTGGGTGTCAGCCTTTTAAATGCCTATTTGATTACACAGAAAGCCCTGAAGTCAAGCCAGTCCCAGTTCACTTTCTGTGTCCACAGCAAATAGCATGCTGGTTTCAGTTTTGGCAGCGGCCACTGGCCTTTCACCCACCATTCCTCTCTATTTGTGGCGGGGGTCACAGGGAGCTCCCAGGTGCAGCGTCGAACACCTTTCCTCCCTCTCTCACCATATCCTCTGTTCCTCCCTGAGCCCGATTTACAGTGGACAGTATCAACAGTGTTTTGTTACCAAAGCAGAGAGCAAACCGCTAAACACAAGGTGAGCTGCACAACACAGACTGACAGTATGCAGACTGAAAAATGAGAAAATATCCTGTTTGAGTCTCATGTCACACAGTTGTGTTTGGGAATACGGACAAATATTTTCAACAATAAATTATGCCCAGAGGAACCGAATCCTAACACAGTGTGTTTAAAAGAAATTCTGTGAAATCGACCAAGACAATACAGCACATAACTCATCAGTGAGAAAAAACTTCCCCCCATTTTCCAT